CTGGTAATGAAGAGGCGGAAGGAGGAGAAGATAGACGGGTCGATGATGCAGCGGCTGTGCCTTGCAGACCGCTGTTGACGGTGAGGGCGAGATGGGAATATCGGCCATCGGCATATTTCTTCGAGCTACTCGACCCCTCCTTCTGGCTAACACACAAATAGTTAAACAAGATTAAACCCACTGATCACTTTGCCATTAAATTTTATCGTCTGTTACTTTAATGCTTCACATTTCAATACGGATTAAATCTTGTTTTCCACCTTGTTGTCCTCTCACATGCTGAACGCTCTGAAACATTCATTTTCTGGCTATTGAATTTGGTCTCTTTGAGATTTTGCCTGAATTTGATACTGTATGTTGTCATTGTGGGGCACTGTTTGAGTGCTGGTGAACAGCAGCAGCTTTCGGCGTTTAAATGATACTGTAGACCGCCCACTGCTTCCACGTGAGCGCGTTGGAGCGGTTGAGAAAATGGAACAGCGATGACGTTATTATGACCGATAATCGTTATCTATATTCTGCGCTGCTTCACTCGACAATCCTGCGTTTGCTAAATTTGCTAATGCTACATATTGGCTGCCTACTTACCTTGAAGACTCATTCCCATCGACAAACACTTTTGATATCGACAACCCTGACACAAATCCGGTGTCCAGCCCGTACTGGCAATCGTCCAGCTGCCTTTCAATTTGCATTTATACGATGCGGGATTAGCCAGAGCCCGCTTGAACACCGCCTGAGAAGATATATCAAAAAACTAAACTGGTTGGTGGGAAAAAAAGCTCAGAGAAACGATTGGAAATTTACAGCCAATCCATTATTATGGAATGATGAGGCGTACCTTGCATCCTTCGCAAGCCGTTACTCCATAATGAACACCCGTCGAACGCGAGCCGCAGATCTTGCAGTGGCTGACTTTGGCGGCATAAGTCAGCTCCGAAGACATGTCGTCCAGGCGCGCCATCATGTTGAGAGGATAAGATGAGCCTTCCGTCCAATGTAAACGCTAATTCTCGACCGTCAAAACGAGACGTAGACCACAGTATATACACTACTTCCACAGCTCAGGGAAAAGAAACGTCAATCGAGCGATGCTCTGTCGTAATCACATGGTACACGTAATTTTTGCCCATCATATTCGAATTCTGTAATGACGGCACAGCCATAAAACTTGCTTGATCGGAGAGTAGACCTGACGTGTGGGTACACAACGCAGTGTGGCACAAATCCACTTAGGTCTACGGCTCTACAGTGCAGTAATCAATAGAGAAAATTATTTTCCTTCCAGGTATACGCTTGACTGCCTTGTGCATTGCCTTTGTTCACAGTGCACAACAAGGTTCTCCGACACTTATCCCGTCCACTTCGACGCCCAGTTATGGCGTCGGAAAGAAGAACGCAACTATACTTAGCACATCCCTCTACAGCACATACCTCTACTTCAGGTGCAAATACCGGCGCAAAACAGCAGCCAGGTACCTCATTAAAATGACTTTCATCAGTCATGACGAGCAAGGAGAGTCGGATCAGTGGCCTCGTCTGAAATCGAGAAACCGCACATCCTGCCCTCGAACTTTCCGGGCAAAACCTTTCCCAGTTGGGGCTGGTGGCGCCATCTGTCGTGGGTTGCTGAAGGGGACATTTTTGACCATGCAAAGCTGCGCATTCTGCAGCTTTTGCTGAAGCAAGCTGCTTTCTGGTCTAGTCAGCCGAGCAGCTACTGTGCAGCGAGATGCCTGCTGCGTTAAGTTTATCGATTTCCCAAAAGTGGTAATAGAGTACGATCAAGGCATAATCCGGTCCAAAGAGATCACAGGCTGTATAGTCGGCCCGGCGCAGGCAGCGAACGTCTCAACCAAATGTTGTGCTCCCGGTTTAACGGCTCATTCAGCAGGCCAACTACGTGGCCCACCGACTTGCCTCCATCAACCATCTCACGATCATCTCATCCTTCTTTGTTTCTCCGCCTAGCCAGGCTTACCTGACTGAATCTAGCTGCGGCGAAACCTGCTCAAACATCGCTCGCGCAATGAGGCCAATATTGGTGCTTTCATGACGTGATTGCACAAGAAGGAGACGCCATGGGAAGATCAGATGGTAAGTCATTCGGTAAATAAAATCAAATAAAGAGAAAAAGCCAGTCTGCCGCGTGATTGATTGCTTGCTTGCTCTGCTGGCCGTTGCTACGCTCGGCATGGTGCATGACGTCACGGATTGCTCAATTCTGTGTTCGGATCTACCGAAGATCAGTGCCATTTCGCGATGACGCCCTGAGTATAGTTTGAGCGAAATGGCTTGTGGAGATTGCCTTTATTCACTTGATTGTCTGTTGTGTTTGGACGCCTGGACGCGGCCACTCTACGCTGTGTTTCCTCCATTACAGAATACACCGACCTGAACCAGCAGCGGAAGCCCGCATGGAAGCCCGATCTGGATGCCAAGACAGTATTACTATCCTTTCTGGGGATGGGCCTTTGTTTTGTCCCCATCGGAGTGGGTTTGCTCATGGCTTCCGACAGCGTACGCCAAGCATCATCTTCCACAAGACTTTGGCAGTTTCCTTCAAGTACTATGTGCTCTGTTGTAGGTGCAAGAGCTGGTTCTGGACTACACTTTCTGCCTGCGGGTCCCTCAGAAGAACGACCCCATCCGGCCCTTCAGTTCTCCGACCTGCGCGGGTTACATTAACCAGCGGCCGGCCAAGTGCATTTGCCATGTCCCCTTCAGCCTACCCGACGGTCTGCCCGGCAGTGTCGTCATCTTCTACGCCCTCAGTCGCTTCTACCAGAACCATCGCTTCCTGATGAAGTCCCGCGACGAGTTCCAGTTGATGGGCGACATCTTGCCCTTGAGCTGGAATTGCCATCCCTTCGACTATATCAATGGCTCGGCTATCGTCCCTTGCGGCTCATTCGCTAACGCCCTCTTCAACGGTATACTACAAATTCACATTGCCTTGACGTACTCGCCCTACCGATGTCTCTGTCCTAGATACCATTCGGCTGGAGACCAAGAATGAAACGGTTCCTTTGCTGCGGACCGGGCTAGCTTGGCCCTTGGAAAAGCAGCTTTTCGGCAACCCCAAAGGCAGGCCGCTCAATGAAAGTAAGGGACATTTTCCCCTCCAGTATTCTTTCTGGCCAAAGTCCATAGCCACATGTCAGATCGTCTTGCTTCTTTAGGCTACAAGGACTTTGTGAAACCGCCGTCTTGGTCGAAGAATATTTGGGAGCTGGACCGCGACACCCCCTTCAACAACGGCATGGAAAACGAGGGTACAAGTTTGACACACGCTGACTTCAAAATTCAAATGGAAGCATCGTCCACCCCCTTGAGCATGTTTCTCTTTCAGATTTCATCATATGGATGAGGCCGGCAGCTTTCCCGAATTTCCGCAAGGTTTTCCGTCGGGTCGACGAGTCACATGTAGCTTATCGTGATGGCATGCCCAAAGGAAACTACACCTTCATCATTGACTACAGTAAGCACCAAGCGGCGATGATATCATGGCAAATGCATTGGCAGCAGTTGACAGTTACAGCATGAGCTCATGGGAAAACAATCGTTCAACTTTGCGTCACTTCTGCTGTCTTTTCAGATTACCCCGTAACGGCCTACGGTGGCCGTAAGTTCCTCGTCGTCTCGAACGCTTCGGCCTTCGGAGGCAAGAACCCCTTCCTGGGCATAGCCTATATCGCTACAGGCTGTTGTTTGGTGGTTTTGTCCTTCGTTATGTGGATCCTTCATATGAAATATGGCATACGGTAAATTGCATTCGGCAAACTCGCCAAGGATTGTTTCCAAAGTGGTGCATTTTTATTTTCGTTTTCCAAGTGGCGCACGCTTTCAGAGCCACTTGGAAGAACGAAGTCTCGACCAGTTTGATTATTTTCCGAAGTGGCGCACTTTCACAGTGTAATTGACTGAAAGCGTGAGTCACTTAGAAAGACGATCTTGTTCAGTTTGATTATTTTCCGAAGTGGCGCGGTCTTTCAGCGTTGTTGGCTGGAAGTGTGCGCCACTGGACAAAGCGATCTTGTCCAATTTGTTTACCCAGCTACTGGTTTTTTGGTTTCTGCTGTTATTCTTATTTAGTAAAACTGTTACTTTTGATCAACTGTAACATGGTATTACTTCTTACAGGGAGGATGAAGCGCTAGACGTTCGCAAGACGGATCCGTTTTACTTTTGAATCTCCAAAGACGTTGAGCTGATGAATGGTGACGGTTTGACGCATGTGTCCGCCGTTCTGATAAAGTCATTGTTGTGATAGTTTGCCAGAAAGGCAAAGTTTGCAATTGTATTTGATGTGTCATTAATTTTAATTTCATCACTCTCGTCATCTAGCTATTCATAGTTGTCGTTTTACGGTAAAACTTTTACCCATGTGAATATGGGCATGTGCCAGTTTGATCACTCGCTTAACATGATTCATGTTTAACTTTTTATCATCACTCGATACAATAAGGTTGTCGTTTTAGAGCCGGTTCGTTGGCGCACGCACTGCTTTGTCCCCTTTCTGCCCTACAGTATCTTTACAGCCTCAAGGAAAACCACGTAACTTTCCTGTTTGGTGATTTGTTTTGATGTCTTCAAGAAATATTCGCAGTGTTAAATTTACTTTTCCCGCGAATAAATTATCAGAGGTTTTGTTTGACTCTTGGTGAATTCGACGGGTTTCTCAAGCTTCTATATCAATATTTCACATTTCGAGTCTATAGTTTCTCCCGATTGCTTCCTTCTGGTTCTGGCCAAAGGGCAGGCTGAACAGCAAGGCTGGGCGCTTCTGAGGGAGGACTGTTGACGTTCGGAGCGGAAGAGCTGTCCGCGAAGAAGGGTAGTTTTCGCGATCGACCACTTCCGCCGTCTTCGCGTAGTATGGCTGTCCCCGAGTTCGACTCCCGGTCGCAGTTTTTTTGATTCTTTGGCGGGATTAATTCAATTGCAAGTTGCTTTTTAACCGCTGTGAATTTTCCTCAAAAATTTGGCACCCAAAAAGCTGCGGCACCCGGGAGTCGAACCCGGTTCACATGCTTGGGAAGCACGCATACTACCGGTGTACTAGTGCCGCACAAGAAGTTAAATACAGTGCGACTAAATTCCATCATACTGAAAAGCGCCTTTTCACAGTAGGTGCGGCATCATGAAGTGGCATCGAGTTCCGATCAATCGACATCGAGCCGTCATATCTTGTTGGAGGCAAACAATATGAAGAACGAGTAATATATATGAATGAATGCAGACAGCTATAAAAAAAAACAAACAAGTCAAACATGCGGAACTTTGGAGTTAGGGTCCTATTCAATTCCTACCTTCTTTTGCTTTACGAAGCCTTACATTGACTAAGCAAAGCTGATTGGCTGATGCATGTAAAATGCCTCTCACAACTATGCCATTTCTTGTAAAGTCCAATCAAGACAAGAAACGAAAAACCGCATGTATCCCCCACGTTCCACGTCGGAAATGCGTGCGGAACAGTGACTTTTGCAAGTGTCACTGTTCTTGCCCAAAATTGTCGAACAGAACCAGTATTTAATTGTCTAATGAAACTAGGCTTGATCACGAGCTCGAACATTTTTTGAGCCTTGTCTAGTTTGTCCTCGGTTCGATCAAGTCGCTGTTTATTTCGGCCCCAGTTTTAGCGAGATCAAAACTGACTTCAGCGTTGCTCAAAATGAAATCAAGGTCATGGTTATGAGTGATATCCGACGCTATGACGTTCCAGTCTCCTTCTTCCGTCGAAGTGCTCATTACGGAATGCAACTCCGTAGAGAAGTCGCCACTTGATAGCAAGGCTGTCATCTGCCGAGAACACTCCGTAAAACGAGCCGACATGGCGAAAGATCCCTTTTGTTCTTCCTGAAGAGTCTTCATTTGACCTTCTAGTCTTTCGTGAAGGTCTCGGGCTTTGGCAATCTCCCTCCGCATCAAACTAATTTTCCTATCTGTTTCCGTATTTCTTTCTCGATGAAGTTTAAGTTCTCTGCGAAGCCGCTCGTTGTAGTCTAAAGTGTAATGGTCTTTGCCGTGATGGCTATTCTCTTGGGCAAAAGTGCGGAAGGGTTTGACGTAGATGTTGACTTGGTCCGGTGGAAGTTGTCTAGCCACAAAGTCCTGACGGTCGACTTTGCTGTGGATCAGTGTCTTGAGCTCCTCCACCTCCAGCTTATGTGTCAGGCCACAATGGGGCAGATGGTCATCGGCTGACTTCATCTGTCTGCCGGATCGGCTTTCTTTATCGATATTCTTGTGGCGATAAACAGCTTCCATGACCTTGTCGGCTATACTGATCCATTCATTGGCCTGCAAGAAACACTTACGATCAGCGAACGGTACACTGAATAAAGCATGATAAAACGGCGTAGACGTGCACATCGTGCCAGTTAATGGACGCAGTGCATGGTGCTCTGGTTTACCTTGATCGAGCACATGCCTCGGCATGACGACACAGCCCTTCCTTCCTCTTTTCTCGTATTGCCCCATTCGGCCATAAAGTCCAAATTATGACTGAAGTCCATCACTTCCTGGATGAGCTTATCCTCTTCTCCTTCCAGAGTCGTGATCGCCCGTTCCACGTCACTGTCGCCATGCCGCTTGTACAACTGTTTATATCGTTCTTCTTCAAAGACCAAATCCGGCGTTATCAACAGCATGGCGTTGATACCAAAAAGGAACATCTTGTCAAGCAATGTGGAGCTTTTGTGCGTCACTGCACCCAACGACTTCTGTAGCTCATTTTCATATTTCAAGGTCCAGCTTGAGGCAGCCGGCTTTAGCTTTCGTATCAGTTCCTTCAGGCTGGCCTTTTTTACGGCCCTGCTGCCTTTCTCACAACCTTCGGCCGGTTCAAGACACCGCATGATAGTGTCCAGTTTCTCCATGAAGCAAAAGACATGGCTGGTCAGCCTTCCCGCTTCTCCGCAAAACACAACGCCCCGCTCCTCTATTAGAAACAAGAGTTGGTCCATGCTTTCAATAAGATCACCGATGAGCTTGGGCAAGATATCAGGACCACAAATCAAGTTGCGGCATTCCGCATGGTAGGCAAAAAAGTGCTGATATAAATGGTGCAGGTCGATCAAAGGTGGGAAAGAGGACAGAAGGGACACGTCCATATCCAGCTGACGTCTGCAGTGGAGCAGATGATTAAAGGTCTTGACGGCCCCACTGGCCTCATCCGAATTTTCTTCCCCCTCGGCTTGGTGCAGCGTAGTGCTTGGAAAGCGGTCATGTTGGCCGTGGCAAATCATCGCCGACAAAGCTTCGCATATCAGAGCTTTAAACTCGTCCTTAACCTTGTTCAGCACATCTTGGTTGGACTGCTGTATGGCTGGCTGGAGCTGCGCTAGTATCCAGTGCGTGTCGTGGATCCAAGGCTGCAGCACTTTGGGCAAATGCTCAACGCAGTCGCAATCTCCCCAATCGTGTTCGCCATGGACTGCGAAAAGTTTTTCAAAATCTTGTCCAATGATTTTCAGCTGACTAAAACATATCAAAGATCATATTTCTATATTTGATGTTTATATTTTTGTATGTATTAGGTCTGCCAGTATGACTTTGCGGTTTTCGGAGGAAAGTTCTGAAAATTCCTATCTCTGACTTTTGGCGGAATCTCGTTTCTTCTCTTCATAAATAACAATAGATACAACAGTCTTTTGCCCACCGTATTGGAAACTCTGAAACGTGCATTTGTGTGGTTTTGTACGAGAATGTTTTGTGATCGCAAATTTTAGAAAATTACCTCGACGTAGAGTTCTATTTCTTGTCGCCACACCATGGCAGCTAAAAATTCAGACACTACGGTAAACAAGACCTCAACGAAGACGCGAGCGACCGATCGTTTCAGTTTTGGCGAGCACAGTCTACTCCGTCACTTAGCTAGGTGGTAGAAAACGCTTGGAAAAACTGACATCGGACGATGCATAGCTACTTGCTCTGAAAGCCGGTCGAAAGCAAAACTTTTCAAACTTCGAAAGTGGATAGTGAACACATTGGTGTGCTCGTCAAGAGCTTTGGCTCTAGTTTTCGATGAGCAATGATAGAGAAAAAAATTCTCATCTCACTAAAGCGGCGCACGTCGACAACCGCAACTTTCCACCCTGTTTTGCACAAAACTTCTTTTCAGAACTGTCAAAGCATATCTTTGAGAGTTTTTCTTCTTGCAGTTGACATACCATCTTCAGTACCATAAAACCTTTCAACCATTCTCGAATCCAAAAATCTTGTTCCGTGCCAAACGTTTTTCAAAGATGTTGTGTTGAGAACTGAGGTTTACTTCTTCCGACATTTTTCTTGTTTCCTGATTTCTTTGCATTGATCAGATCTTACTTTTGGAAAATCTTTAAGAGTCTCATTGACAGATAGAACACCAGCAAAGTTTTGAATCTGTGTACACGAGCTCTGAAAATTCGTTTGAAAGTTTTCCGCCGAAAACTCCAAAAGTCATACTGACAGACCTAATAGATTCGATATTTACTGTAACTGCAGCCCGAGGCGGCCAAGTGACTACCACCTATAAAATTAGCGCATTCTCGACCGGGTTTTCGTTCAACTTCGAAACTAATTTTCTTCGGTTTAAAGTTCTTTTTGCAACCTCTCAAAAAATAACTGGTCAGAAGTCTGCTCAGCAAAAGTCAAAATCGGCGTGAAACCAGGCATGGTGAAAAGTGGAAACTGCAACCAACTTTCATAGTTCTCGAATTCCATTTCCGAAATTTATTTTCCAGTTTTCAGTTGACGGCATGCGGTGATCTTATTCAGAATAAATAGGACAGGGACCTGGCTACTTGAGTAATGGTCAAAAGCATAAATCTTTTGTTTGGGACAAGAGCAACAGTTTTTGCCGCAAAGAGGGATTTACCGGTAAAACGGCCGAATCTAACAGTCTTAATTTACTTGCCGAGTTGGTTTGGCTATTTCGTGATATTTTTCGGTCTAAATGACAAACTAGGCAGTATTACATGCGTTAAGATCAAGTGGGGGCTTCATAACCGAATACGGAATTTTAGAAGGTTTTGGTAATGAAGAGGTATCTTCCGCACCGGAAGTCATGCCGATCAGCTTTCCCAGACCATTTCTCAACCGATGTGAAGTGAAAACAGCTTGAAAATTTCTTTGAAAAGTGTGAAGAAGTGGACGATAAGAAGTAAACTGTTTTTCCATAGCGCTGTGTCCAAGTGGTAGTCGCTTGGCCGCCTGAGGCTGTATTATTATATTTCCGTATTTGATAGGTGAGGGTCCCTCTCACCACCGAAACCAGTGACGGGCTCATCTCACCACCGGCTTCAACTGACACACCACCGATGGGCTCCCCTAACCACTTTTGGTTTATTCTTTAATTAGATGAAATGTTGTGATATCAACTAGGAAATTATTAGTTCACCACTAGCCCACCACGGTGGTGGTTGACTTGTCACTGTCTTTACCAAAGGCCCACAAACGAGCTGCAGGTTTGCAAAAAATTTGTAGACGCAAGTGGGTTGTCAGTCCTGAACATACAAAATGACAGATCCAAATGCTGTGATCGCGTTAGGAGGCGATTCTCTATCCCAGAAAGGCATCTGTCTCTGGCAAAGTCTGCGGAGCTGGGTGATCTGGAGTTTTAACGCTAAGAGCTCGACTGAAGCGAAGCTTAGGCGCGGGCGCCCAGCCGCGCGAGGTTCTCTAAACTACCAGGACAACTTTATTACACCGGACGATGCGGTGGCATGTTTGGCGCAACGGACAACGGAACCACCACCCAACGTCGATCGCAGAGTTGTCCCGCAAATCGTCGTTCATGAGTAGTCGTATTAGTCCAAACGAGTGTGTACACTGTGGTATGTCTGTCAGTTATTTCTCACCGCACTCGCTGTTCTATTCTCCCAAAAAGATACTTCTTGCATTTTACACTGTATTTCGACAGCACCGTCTTCCTACAATATTGTTCTTGGTGGTGTATCGGCCACTACCAATCAAAATAGATTTCTGGGTGGTGGTGCGATGAGCCGTGGGTGGTGTCAAAGTTTTAGATGTTAGTGGTGAGGGGAGCCCACCGATGGGGCGTTAAAACACTAGGCAGCAGGTCAGAAA